AGAATTGTTCTACTACTTTCGCTATTTTCTTCTTTTCTGTGACTAGATGTTCTAATTTATCCCACAATTTTATTATTTTAGTTGTTTGCTGTGAAATATTGTATTCAATATCTTCATACCTCTGTTCTCCACAGTGGTGTTATTAATTTGTTTTGTATTATATTTTCTTACATTCTTTCTTGCCTCTCGTTATTTTCCTCGTTAGAAACTTAGAAAGAAAAAAAGAGGGGCTCTAGTTTGACTTTTAGCGTTTTCTGAATTTGTTGTTGATTAATTTCAAGAATATCTAGTCAGAATCTTGTTTTTATTGTTGATCTCCGGCAAGATGCCGAATATCGACTATGCATACCGACGTAACAGACTCTCTCGTTTCTGTGACGTAATCTACAGTTTCCAATGTTTGATGGATCCCCTTTTCTGTTGTGGGTATGATGTGTATTTCAAATTTATTTTTCATTTCTAAAATTATGTACATAACTCGGTTGGGAATTGAGCTCATTTTTGTTACTTCATGTTTTAACTTTTTGTTTTTTAGGATAGCGGTTCCTCCCAGAGTGGTCTCTGTGTTGTTTTGATATAGTAGGTAAGAGGCCAGATTTAAGGATGGTGGCTTTGTTCTTTCATTATTGTTTTGAAGAGTCCCTGGATTTCCCATTTGATGTTTTCTAGTTCCTGATATAAGTAGGTATGTTCTGTGTGGTTCATCATTCATTGTTTTTATGTTACAAGTTGCCACTATCAACTGTTGAATTGCGCTAGGTTTTAATTTGATATTTTGTTTTTCAACTAATGGTAGTATTACATCGAGAAATATACCCTATACATATTTCATTTATCTGTTGACCAGCTTTCATATCTAATCACTCTAATCGATAAAATAAATATCTTCCACCTGTACTAATACGAATAAAGATAAAATTAGAAGTAATGTTTTCTATAATACCGGGTGGGCACAATCTGTTTGGGTGTACAGAACAAGCTCGAAATAATCTATAATTATAATATGAACAAAACTGCTGATACATTGATTGATTGCGTTGATTAGCTATTTGGTAACTATATGAAACACACATACATTGCTTGCAGCTTTGAACATAATTTTTATCTCTTGAGATATTAATTAAAAGATTGTTTATAGTATCGAAGCCAAAAAGAGTACCTACTAAAAAGATTTAAAAATCTTGGTATTAAAAAATATATTATTAAATTTGTTTGTAAAAAATCATTATCCATTTTTATTTTTTTAGGGATTTGTTATCCCTTTGAACTATTTTTTACTGTTCTTCTGTAGGTAAGCAACTGGCTTGGGCATAAGTTTTCAGTTTTGAATTTGTTTATAACTGGCGCAGTCGGTAGGATTGTACAGAAGTCCTGATTCGGTCGTGTCTCTTTCGAAAAGCCGTGAATCGATTTGATGATTTGATTGAAAACATTTGATTTTCTACTCTTCAGTGCAATCCAGAACAATCCTCCGAGCATCCGACCACAATACTGGCAGAATCAGTAAGGAAGCAAGACATTGCAGAAAACGCACTAAGTGCCATTTCGTTCGTCCCTTTATTTCCTCTGTTTAAGGCATTAATACGGATAATTTAATTTGGCATATTAAACGCAACTTTTAGATTTTTTAGATTTAGATTCTTTGTTGCAAAACAAACATTTTATGATCGACGAATTAATAAATAATCTTGAAACTCAGTAAAAAATAATTCACCAAAAATGAATCCCAGAACTTCTTCTGGAACCGCAAAAGTCATTGTCGGTAATTCTTAAGAAGTGATTTTGCTCAAAGAATTAGAAAGGAAAAAATTATCAAGTCAAACCGCTTTTGTTGCCGGTGGTAGGTCAAAATCAAATAGTTTAGAGGATGCTATTTCATAAAAGCTGTTTAAAATTCACGTCATCGCTTTCGATAATCGGGGCTCACTTTGAGAGTACGAGAAAAATATTGAATTTGTCAGGAATAACAAGTATGGCAGATAGGTGCACCAGAGCCTTCCAGGGCTAAGTAAATACCCAGGAAGGGCTACAGTCCCACCACGTATGTTGGATGCACAAAACACACGGACACATTAAACCAATGGATTACTGAACACCGGTACAAATTGAGGAGGAGTTAATTAACCGAATACGAGAAGCTGTTCGAGAAGAGTGCACAATAAGGTAATTACACAGGCACTAACTTTTTTGGAGTTAAAGACAGGAATGTATATTTATTCGAGTACATCAATTCGAGCTTACGATGACATTAAAAAACAATTTCTCGTTGACAATATTGATATTTCGTAAACGTACGTTCCTACATTCAACGAATCCTGTTGAATTTACCGTTTATGCTTGCCTATCTTATCTTAGTCACTTTCTCTATTTATCCATGGTTACCGGAGTTTTTAATAATTGCTTAGCAACAACTATTTACGGAATGTTAATGAGGCAAATTACGTTGGAAAACATGGTTGCCGTCTTTCTGATATAGTTTTTGTACAAATTTCTCAGTTTTTAATAACAATATTTGTTTTAAACTATTTTTTCTGTACTCCTAAAACACCCACAGACCACGTCTCCAAAGGAATGTCGTCCATTTTGAATCACCCTGTATGTAAATAAATTTGAAAATTTTCGGAAGCTTTATGGTAATGATCAGTGAAAATATAGACGTGAATCACCCTGCTCAAAGAAGTAATCAACCAAATTATTTCAAATACTTACTCTTTGCGTTAGTGATTTTTTGAATACATTCAAAAGTACTTAATGCGGTGTTGAAATTATTTGAAGAGCAATAAAATTTTAATATTTTTTTTCTGCAGAAGAGACGTACAAGTGCACATATGTACTTGTACTCCCAAATTTTGATGATTTTATTTATTTCATGTTATTCAATGTTTCACTATTGAGAAACCGCCACTGCTTTTTCAACCTTTAACATAGACAAGTTCTGATGTAAACACTTCTACTGTTAATCGTATACTAGATAAAATTCTTATATGTAAATATAAATAAATATGAAAATACAAATAATAAGTCAAAATAAGTAATGGTGGGGCAAAAGCTGCATATCCTTGATTGTTAAAAAACGCTATGAACATTTTCTATGTTGTTTTAATATCTGCAAACATAAAAACGCTCCTTTGCAGTTACTATAAGATGAACAGCTTTTTATATCCAAGCCAAGATAAAACGCTATTTTTTTTCGTTGAGTGTTTATTTTTGGCAACTTCCTATCGCATATTTTAAAGCTCTCTTAAGATATGTTCATTAAAAAAACTAAAATTATCTATTAATTAACTGATCAAATGTAATTGACGCCCCCTGTACAGCTGCGTCACGCGACTTATTTTCCAAGCAAGCCGCTTCTCACTTGAAACAGTGCGTGTTTATAGGGAAAGCGTACAAGCCAGATCATCGAAATTTATCCAGCCAGGTCGGAAAACGTAAGTTTTTTCTATAATCAATATAAATTTTTTATTGATGGAAATGTACTTAATATTTTTTAATTGGAGTGAATATGTTCTTTAATATTGAGCCTCGAAGTTTCTGTGTAAAGTGAACAATAAAGTTCAAGTGGGTAAATTCGCCTCTAAGGGTTATTGAAGGGCGCGATTGACCTCCAAAGGGTAGAGTGCGGTTGAGACAGACATAATTAAATGTGTATTTTACGTAGGTATATGGTACAATTTGATAACGATATTACCTAATCAGCTTTTATCTTTATCAAAGTGTACGGGCTTTTATGTTTTTATTAATTAAAATTACGTGAGAACGTGAAAAAATAAGACAGTTGCTATTGTGAAAAATATAATTTAATGTTGAAAATATAATTTTTGATTTTCGGAAACCATATTCTACTATTCAAAATATGAAGTTTCTAGTGTCCGAAAATTCTTAATGAAAGAGATTTTTTTCTTGGCTTAAGTGGACAAGTAATTTTTGGGATAAGAAAAAAAAATTGGGATTTTCTGCTTTTGGCCGAACGCCGAAAATATACTGCATTTTTTACACAAAAACTTTCAAATACAGAGCCCAAGTCTCGGATAATTATAATAAGTGAAGATAAAAATAATGAAATTTTCTTATAAATTTAAGTAGATTAAAAGTAACTTTTTTCGATCTTTGGCCATTTTCACTCAAGTCCCACTGTAGAACAAACCGGATTCTGCAAGTGTGATGTGAAGTGTGAGTTTAGAAATGGCAAATTAAACTAGGTGAAAGCAAATCTTGTTTTCCAGCATAAAATTCCCAAAAAATATATCTATATTAAAACTACATATTCGAAATCAAAAAATTTATTTTTAGCTTATTGCAATTTTATTAATGCACATATTCACAAATCATATATTTTTAAGAAGTTGCTTGCTGTAAAGTAAAACGTTAGACAAAGCGATTGAAATCTACAAAGCGCTTATTTAGACAGCATAACCATGGTATTTTGCATATTCTTCAGGACAAAACATGTCCATGTGATTTATTGCCATCGAAAATCTGAAATACATCTATGGACAAAACGAATAACACACAAGAACATGAAAAAAAAACAAGAAGATAACAAAACATAACACAAGCAATACATATGAGAGTACCTATAATAATGCGTCTTAGCGGACTCAAGTTATAGGACATTTTGCCTTTAAAATCGGTTTTGTCTTGCACGTATTCAATGTTGGCAAATTATATCTGAAACACTCTGTATAAGTACATGCATGTGCAATATGTTATATCAATAAGTACGTTTATTGTCAGTAAATGTGTTATGTAAACATATTGTTCTGAAACGAGCTGTATATTGACTCAAATCTGTGTTCCACAAACCGCAAATGCAAAAATATACGACTCGCAAATTTCAACTTTTCTATGTGAAACTGGTCACGTACTCATCTCGACACATTGATTTTTTCTACAAAACGTGCGAAACATAATTCGCGATTAGGATTTTTTTATAGACTGATTCATAACTTATGCTATGTGTATGATGTTGTTATTTTAATATTCGAGCAATACGGTTGTTAGCTTGGAACGTTCCTTAATATTGGCAAACATTTTTTATTTATTCTATTTATTAAAAGCAGTGATATTTTGTCTCATCCGCATCGTCATTAGGTCTTTTTCTCCGCTTCATTTTTATCGAAGTAGAACTTGGTAGAACTAGAACTTTTATCAACTAACAGATTCATTCAATTTTTTTTAAATGCTTTGACATTTATTTTTTCGTACATATCAATTATCCCCTTTCAATTTCTTTTCTTTGATAAACACAGAAGAAACTTTTTTATAGGAGGTCTGCCATATAAAATATATAAACGTAATTGCATTATGAAGAAGTTTAAAATGAAAAATTAAGTAACCAGTGGTAAAAAGAAAAAAAACTTTTTCAACTACCAAGCTTTTGGCAATTAATTTTTTCCGCCTTCTTCAGGGTTGGAAGAGTCATTACAAAAATCAATCAAACAATTAGCTATGAAACAAGCGAAGCTCAAAGATTTTTACTGATGATCATCAGTCTTAGTCGGAAAGCACGGGAGATCACTTCGCCCACTGCCTCATCGCCTTTGAAAATGTCCACCGCAGTTGTGGACAAAACGTCAGGAAGAAATTCCGATAGACCACGGCTTCAAAGCCCGGAAAACATTCCTAAATGTAATTTAACCGGCCGTGAAAGCCTTCATAGTCTGATGATATAAAAAAGTTTAACATTTTACTTCACACCAATGGGTCGGCCTTTGAGGGATAAGGGGTGAATGTTAAATTTTGATCATTCATGCGCAGCAATATTTATGGGAAGTCATACAAATTTGAAAAGAATACACAAATAATCAAAAAACGGCATTAGTTTTTTCATGGCTAATGTTTCCTGAATTTTTTGCGTTTTATGGTGGGACACTAAACTAAATTCTATGGGAATAATATGAGTAAGTTTTATAGGAAATATAACGCAGGAATGAATTCCTTACGTTCAGATTTGGAAAACGTCTGGCAGCCGGATTTAAAAAAAATGTAGATATAATTTTGGAACCATACATTTAATATATTTCCATTATCAATTCGTATTAATACCGGTGTATCATTTTTAAATTACTTATGTAACACCCTTATTTTTAAGTTTTTTCAAAAAAAGTAATTTGAAAATTGTTGTTTCAAATACTTTTATATACAGTTAAAATGACAGTATCAAATTAAGAATCACTCTGTATGCCTACTGGTATAAATATGTACATTGTAAAATTAATTTTTTAAACACCACTTTTACTACAATGCAAATACCAAACACAATCATTGGATGCATTATTTTTTAGAATGTCTGCAGCTGAAGTGACGAAACCGTTGCCAAGACCTCAATTAAGAGGTCTTCTGCGAAGTTCCATTAAGAGAAACCTTATTTCTGTGGCCATTACGATCACCACCGCTGCTGTTCTAATGAAATTTGTACACAACGATGGAAGGAAAACAGCATATGCCGAATTTTACAAGTAAGTTTTTGAACCTATTAATTTTACTGCAAAAATGCATATGACTGTATTTTTGAAATAAATGAAATCGTAAATTTGTTATTCACATGAATAATCTGAATTAGAGAGTATTCAATTTATACAGGGTGGCCCGTAAGCACATGATCAAAAGGGGGCTGCGATATTCTCTGGAGCAATCGATCTGACCTAAATTTTATTACATCGGGAGAATGGTACGATGAATTTCAATGAAACTCGCTGTGAATTTGTTCCTATGTAAGACTCAGTTATTATTGAGTTTTCGAGAAAGTGTTATAGGGACTTGACCCACTAATTTTTGCTCTAGAACAACCTCGTAAAATGTTGCTCGCTCCATTTTCGGGTACCCTGTATATATAATTAAAGTGTCTAAACTTACAAATTCGACTTGCGATATTTAATTAATTTTTAGATATAATTGATGTATGTTTGTTTAGGAATAACGTTTGTTTGTATTTTAATATGTGTATGTTGCGCACAAAAGCAACAAACTGAAAACTGTTTTTTCGTTAATATGTATCGAACAACGTGGCAATCTACAATAATACTTATGCCAATAATTGTTTAATTTCAGAAACTATGACATCGACAAGGAATTTGAGAGAATGAGGAAAAAGGGCCTGTTCGATTCCTGTCCGAGCGATTGAGCTGAACGGTGAACAAATCCAGCGAACCAAAGCGCGGTTTTAGTGTACTGTGTATCATAGAATAAAGAGAAAATAATACCACAAGTACATAATTTTCAAATAACTCCTAGCTCGGTCAGTAATCGCGAGTTCAAAAGTCCCACTGGCCCACTGGTGGCTAAAATTATAACTACAAGTTCAGTAGTAATTTGACACTTGTTTCCTTGACATTTGTGTCACATTGATCTTTACATCTGATTGCGGTTTGTTTTGTTTCCTTCTAGTCAACTTTTGCAAGCTTTTAAAGAAATAGAAACAGATCGAAGAGTGTGTAAGTATTGTTTTATGTTATAAATGTCATCAACTCCAATAACTAAACAAGTCTGACCAGTCTCAACTGTCACTCGACGAGTAATTTGACGTTTCTCAGCGCCACCACCGGTAGTTGAACACGCCAATTAATCTGACAGGAAAACATTGAACAGAAAAGTTTTAGGAAATTGAAATGACATAAACTTGTGTTTTTTTAAATGGAAACCATATTCTATTATGCCTTTATTACAAAGAACATTTTATTACGATTTCAGTGATCGTTTGGTTTTTTAGAAAATGAAGTGTCTGCGAATGATTTTTACATCCTTAATGTAGTTGATCGAAGTTAACCATGGAAAATAGTAAAAGAGCGAGATTAGTTGTAACAAAAAACTCAGAAACGAAAAATACTTTACAAGTTCGGAATTTTGCGCTCAGTAACGAAGAGTGCGCTATAAATGCCGTCAAAATTTTGAACATCACTCATCGTTGCGCTCAGTGCTACGGCTACGGGACACATTATGCAACGCATTTTCCGAAAATAAATTTCTCAGTAACGAAAAATAATCTAAAAGTTCGTCGTCAACATTTTTTCAAACCTTCAAACATTCATTCTAACCAAATGCAATCCTAAATTTTGCGCGCTTCATAAATGTTCATTTGAAAATGAAAGCTTTTACGCAACTGCAGACTTCCAACTTCCAAAGTAAAGCCAGTAGAAACTTGAACGATCGACATTCTGTAGAAGTTTTTTTAAATAAAATTTTGGCAATAAGTTGCACCTAAATGCCTGATATTCAAATTTCGTGTGACTTTTTGTGACAAAGCTACCAGAATTTACTCATGCACGTTGTTATAACTGAATCGAATTATCAATTCTTTATCCAATGATATAAAAAAACGAATCTGTCGCTCAAATGGTTCTTAGGAACGTCAAAGAAACTGGCACGTTTCAGTCGATTTCGCAGTTAAAAAAAAGGCAAAACTAAAACTCTTGACTTTTTTTGATAAAAAAAAACATAAAATTTGAACCCATATTTGCATATCTGAAACGGTTCTTTGGACCCAAGGTTGATGCTTCTTGTATTGAATACTAGAACCCAAATTTCCATATCTGAGCGATTCTTTAGAGAAAAACTTCAGATTAGCTTGATATAAAAATACAAAGCCTCCCAAAATACAGAATCCCAATGTTTAAAAATCAACTACCAAAGAATAGCTCAATGGATATCCAATCGACGCTACGAGTCAGTTTATGAATATGGGACTAAAAGTTCTACATGTACAGTCTAATTTGAAATTTAGAGAAAAATGTTAAATACAAAAGTTGGAAATATTAACGTCTAGTTTATTTTAAAATAACACCAATTAATACAGGGTGTCTCAAATTCAAGTGGCAGACCAAACTTATCTTTTTTTTAATCAAAAGCCGTACTAATTATTACATATTCGAGCTATTCGTACAATTCTAGGCCCATTCCATATAAATGTTCTATAGTGATTTTCAACTGTTTTTGAGTGAATACCAATATTGATCGAACTTTGTCCACTCCGTTTTTGCAGCTCATTTGAAATTTAGAGCAAAACATTTTATGCAAAAGTTGTAGATATTAACGTCTAGTTTATTTTAAGATAGCATCAATTGCTACAGGGTGTATCAAATTCAAGTGCCTGACCAACCTCCATTTTTTATAAATGGAATGTCCGAACATTTAAATGGTTATTAACTATATGAAATAAAAAGTGCGCGATTCCATTTTGTATGTTTCTACCGCCACTTGAGTTTGAGACACCCTGTATCAACTGGTATTACCTTACAATAAACTAGACATTAATATTTAAAACTTTTGCATTTAATATTTTTCTCTAAATTTCAAATTAGATGTTAAAACGGGCTGGCCAAAATTCAATTAACATTGGTTATTAACTCAAAAACAGTTGAGAATCAATATAGAACGTTTATAGCGAATAGGCCTAGAATTTTACGAATATCTAGTTTGGTCTACCACTTAAGTTTGAGACACCATTTATCAATTGGTATTATCTTAAAATAATCTAGATGTTAATATCTACAACTTTTGTATTAAACATTTTTTTCTAAATTTGAAATTAGATACAAAAACGGGGTGGCCAAAGTTCAATCAATTATCCTATACATGGCAACCAGGGGTAACACTGTACACACATATTTGAAATCAGCAAAGCAATGAGGGAAAAATATATAGCATCCATAAAATTTCAGTTGCTGGTCGGAAAACTAAACTCAGTTCAGGCTTAAAGATTTATAGATTAGAAATAATTCTTACCAGCTTTCTGCAATCTGGGGCGCCACCCTCCATGTTCTAACCATTAATCCCCAAGAAGTTCACTACACTCACAAACTACCGCACTTGCCATAAGAGCCCCAATGATTCTATTTTCCATCTAAGAACGCGATTCACACGACACAAAGGGTCATCGGCCGATTTTGTTCTCTATCGGTAGCAAACTGAACATTCATACTCTTTTTCGCGAAAAAAAAATACACCGAACTACCGAATAAACATGATAATTTAATCGTTTAATTGTTCGCCCTTTCGATGATTCACGCTTTACTTGGCAGTTCGATTTCAGTTTGTATATTGTCGACATTTTTGTTGAAAGTGACTGTTTGCATTGCAATATTTCCAAAGGCAAATTTCACGTTCCAACTTCACGAAAGTCAACAATAACTAAACAAAAAACGCTCCAAGCGCCGATCTTTCACTAATTTAACTTTAAATTTAGAGCCATGTATATTTGTCTGAATTTCGCTCAGCTGCAGTGATTAATGCACAACGCCAAAACTAATATTAATCACCGAATTACTTATCATAACTAGTTAATTAATGAGGGTATTTCGTTTTTACTGGGGGTAAGAACAGCTCCCTTCGATCATCAAAGTCATCGCTATCAACCCCAAAGTTGATTTGAATTTCCAGTGATTTACTGCGATAAAAATGTACCAAGATATAAACTGCACTGTTTTACTAAAACCAAGAACATCAGCTGCAGGAACGAAAGAAAACAAATCATGATATAAATGTCAAGGTATTTCTATTTAACAATGTATATTTTATAATCAACCTTTCCACAATCTACAATTAAGAACATTACAAGTCAAATTGTGTTCTGCGTAAGGCAACTGGAAAGCCTAGAGTTCGAATCCGACCATACAAACTTAAACGTCTTCCTATAAAGAATGGTGGTTTTTCAGAAAATATGATCAAAACGCTTCAAATTCTGCTACAATTTCATTTACCCGCAATCTTTATCTTCTCGATAATATATCGAATGTACGATTGATCATCAATTGGTACTTTCATAAGCTTGACATATTTCAAATCAAAGCTACCTAGACTGGGTAGGTGAACTAACTAAATACAACATTTTGATATTTTAAGTGCTTTACACGCCAGAGCCTTCAAGGAATTATTGAATAGATGAAACAAATACATTGAAAACTTGAGTTGCTAATGATCAAAGATAATCGGCAAATGAAAATCGGCATAGTTATAATTTTTCTCCAATTTAACTAACAGTCAACTAAAAACTAAATCAATTAAAAAATAATCCTATTCTCCCACCGAGTTCTGCAGCAAGTCAAAGAAAGGAAACATTCATTCAGTAATGCTTAAGGTAACAACTAAAATAATAATTTATTTAAAAAATGTAGCAAATATACATTCTAAAGTACAAGTAACTAAACGTACTTATTCAACGTGTAGTGAAAATATGTGTAAAGCTTCAGTTTTTCTAAACATTAACATAATGTCTAAATTCAGACCCAAATTTCTACACCTTTATACACAAAATAAATAAAAATGCACATCGGAACAGTGCTGGCAAAACTATGCGAGTTATTTACACACGAAGTGTGTAAAATCGTAATTTCTTAATAGTCTGGTCGGATTCGGAACCAACACCCTTGATGCCGTAATATAAATTATAAATACAAACAAATTACATACAAGTACAATATAACTAAGCTAAACAAAAACAATGTCATAACAACTTTGTACAATAGAGTACTTACTTGAGTTGAGAATTTATGTGGTTTAGGAGCCCCGCTGTGTTTCATGAATATATCTAGCAAAATGTAAAGCTGTTGCAAGACATTGCAAATTGGCAGTGCATTTTCGAAAATAAATTCTATGGAAACAAACTTGGGTTAACTCAACTAGTCTTGCTAGCTGCTGTTAGTTAAATGATACAAATTTTAAATAGTTTTAGACTTAAAAAAAGAAACTATATTCAACTATATGCAACAAAAGCCCAATTCAGCCTTCCTAAATTACATAAGCTCGATTGTCAAGTAAATCCCAGTTTCCCTTACGCAGAAAACGTTTGAAGAAAATAAAAAGAAAAAATACTTAAAATATATTGTATAATATATTATTATGCAAAGTATAGCTCCGTATGTAAAATACCACATGTACAATAATATTTATTAATATACACCTCTGTTTACTATGAATATACGCTATAGCTTCTTAATTTTATATATACTATGTACATTTTTATTTAAATTTGCCTAAACTATATACAGGTTCTAGATTTTAGTTGGTTTTTGCTTTGCGCGAGAACACTTATCATTGACCAAATGTGCCGGAAAATTAACTCCATACGGTTTCGTGTAATAATCATAAATATAAGCTATAACAAAACTGCAACTTTACAATAAATGCTACTTAGAATTCATACAAACAAATTTTCGTTTCCATTAATGAGAAGCCAATAATATTGTAAATCATTTGAAAATTTCAAAATACCATGGAACTTTGAAGACACTAGGAAATGTATACAACTGATTTTGATGATTTCTCTTGTTGCGCCAAAAATTGCGCCAATCTGTTTTCACACATGAAAGGTAATTCACACTTTAATACTCAGAAGATTTTTCGATACTCGGTTGCTCTAAATGGGGAGTGACAGATAAATTATAGCGAGTGTAATACATTTGGACTTCATTGATATTATGCATGGCTTCCAGACAGTCAAGTTATAACAGAGGCTCTTTTAGCGAGTGTGGGATGCTAAGGAACATGTGGAAAAAAGTTTTTTCAAAATCATTTCAGACAACCTAATTTTTTTTCCATGAATTAAAGACTAGATAATATTTAAAAAAATAGTCAGCTGGGCGTGTGAACTTGTAATGAAAATGAAGGTACTGCAGAATATGCAGCAGGCACAAAAAACATATAATATGGAGAAGGCCGAGTGGCGTGTGACTCGCGAGGTTCACAGCCTTTGACAAAGTGTGCAATGAAAATATTATAAAAATGAATGAGTCTTTTTTTACTTTTCTTCATTCACTCTTTGTTGAAGGACCCTACCAAATCAACACACAGAGCCGGACCATTTAAAAGACATTTTCTAAAAAAATTAACAGTGTCAATAAACGGGGAAAAATTGTAAAACGTTATACCGGAGTGCTAGTTAGAAGTGATCTCGATACTTCGTAATATCCAGCCTAAACGATTGCCCGAGGATTTAAGTACTGACTTCTTGATAAAAGGAGACTGCAAAGTGCCCCAAAAACTAATCAATTTTTATAGTAAAGTTATATCTACTTAATATCCGACAAAAGTTAGAAAAATCAGGTTGTCTAAAATGATTCAGAACAACTTTTTTTTACATGTTCCATGTGGAGCCATAGCACCAACCCCTGCGGGTGCGCCAGCTGACCTTCACTTTTGTTGCTCATTTATCAGTATAGATAAAAATCTAGCAGCACAAAACTACTCAAAATAGATCCCTGCCTCCCCGACTATAACGTTTCCCCATCGTCGCTATAAAACTGTTTTATACAGGGATAATAAATCGCTTAGCACAACGCTAAATTAATTCAGATTTTAAATACCTAAGTATAATTTTATTGAAAAAACTTAGAGTGACAGGAAGTCGTCTGAAGCCCACATTGACGTTTTTCATTTATTTATACAATACTTTCTTATGGCCAAAACGAGAACATCCATGAAGAAAGTGCAATTTAGATAACAGATTTATACCACATCCAGCCAATTAATATACCCGCGAACGTCTATCAAGAAGGTGAATTTAAAATTGCGCAACTAATTTAGCCTTATTTCAATGCTGTTTTTCGAACTTGTAATGTCCGGGCTGTTGAATAAACTAAAATTTAAATCACGCCACCTACACCACATTTCTATTCATAATTAAATTATAAAGAAGCATTTGATAAAAGATAACAACTGATATCACTACGCACTTATCGTGCCACACACTCACACATGTAAACATTACAAAAAAAAGTTTAATCACAGATTCTATAGAACACAACTTCCTCTGCTCACGGCTACCTTTTAGCAGATTGCTTTTCTGTTTACGTAATATTTACAATAGACGCGCTTAAGTGAAATACACTGGACAATTTGATTGTAAAAAAATAAATACAACAAAAACATTAAGCAGAAAAACATCCGACATATTCGAATTTGCAACACATTTTAAAGGTCGGTAGTTCATACACGTGTCTGTGAGCAGAGCGAAAAGCATCTTAAACGCAAGTGTATAAAGCAAAAAAAATTAAATTCGTTTAAATCCCTCAATTAATTATCTTCCTAACACGAGCTACATACATGTAACAAAAACAGCAAACATAAACAATACCTGCGGAGTTCTCCGCTTTATGACATTAAACAATTTATTATCACGAAACCGAAAAAAATGTTCAACTAGCGATAATGATAACACGCTCCATATCTACAAAGTGATTCGCTATAAAAATTCAACACATCGCTGCATATTATTCACATCGCGTTATTAGAACACATACACAATTGGACAATGATGTTCCGCGTACGCATATCACAATCTGTGTAAAGTTTGTATTCATTCTGATTTCACAAAGACTTGCAACCGTTCCCAAACGGAATGTGACAATCAAGAGGCCGGGATCAAGTTGGACCAACTTTTATCTTGAAAATTGAACAATATAGGAAAAAATGATGATAGCTGTCTTTGAAAGGCGCATTTTGAACACTAAGTAGTACACTTATACTTTTCAGTTACAAAGGCACATTCGTTATGTATAGCTGTCATTGTATAAAGAATGCTAATACTCAAGTTAAAGTTAGACATTACGCTTAAAGTAAATTTAGATATCTAATGATTTTTCATCTGTTAGAACTCAGACAAAAATGTGCCTCTGGATTGCCACAATTTCCACTAAAATTCTAAACCCACCTTACAACAGCCCCGAGGATGATACCAAGGTTAGAAACGTTGAGATATTTGGAGCTTTAAAAATGTAACCTCAGAACATTCAATTTGATTAGATCTAACAATGTGCTGAGAGAGTGAAAAATTATACATTTGCATTTGAGATGAAAACCTAAGTAGAACAATTAATTCCCGAAGAACCAGCAACAGGATTGAGGTTATACAAGTTTTCCAACTGCAATAGAATAGCTACAAGCAAGTTCTTCAGATGTTTGTTATTCCCAATTCAAGACTGCATATGCAAATGAAGCAATGTAAAAGTAAAAAGTAACCAAAAAAGTAAAATTAATGACTCTTAATGACGTTTATCCGAAAATAAAATTGACCAGTCAGTCCGAAGCTTAATTAATATTACATTAATTAAGTGATTAACATCATTCATAAAATAGTAAATTAGAATGGCGAGTTTAAAACTGGATTTAAAATTTATTTTATTCACTAAAACTCGCCGACGTTTTGACCATTTTTAAAGAATAAAAAGAATCCAGTCCCAATATCGCTTTCTGAACATACATGTAAAGTTTTGAGGAGGCTGTAACATTTCATTAAGTAATATTAACTAAAAAAATGACTTGTCATTATAAAGTTAAAATAGCTTAGTATACGGACCAACTAAAAGAATTCGGATATGCAGTCAAACCCGTTGTAAATATAGAAAGTTTAAACCAAAATAATTTGTTTCTTTGGAAACACTTTCGTCGAACAACAAAGACTCTAATATTCATATTCTTTGTCCCCTTTTCTGTATGTCATTATCAATAAAATATCTTAAGCGGCTGCTCTGAAATATCACAAGATTTCGACCTTTTTACACATCCCCGCTACGACTCAATCGTCATCACTGTTTGAACCGCTTAAAGAAGAAAAGTTTGAATCATTGCTGCTGCTGCTTCCATCCTCACTGGGAGATGTTTGACTGTCATCCATAGGATCAACACTACTGTCCTCGCTGGACAATTGAAAATCCTCCTCCGGATTAACATAGTTATGCAAATACGGCTCGTAAGCTGGGAGCAGTTGAAGATAACGGTGGCCAGCCTCTGTAAATGACCAGCCTGACCCGTGATGTCACTTTACCTCTTTTTTACGCTTACTCTCCATATCTGAAATAAAAAAGCGTTTTCTACACTAGACATTAACACATTTTCATAGCTGTTACTGCAAATGTTACTGCCTTGTTTCGTATAAGAGTCCGAGCTACTCACGCACTTTATATTTATATCATCAACAATTCATACCGAATTTCAGTACTTTTTAATACAATGCAGAATATTTTTTAAATCATCCGTAAACTCTGCTGCAAAGAAATAAATTCAAACGCTTGGATCAATTTGAAATTTTTGCCGCGAATGTTTGTTTGTGGAAAAATAGTTAACCTTTTTATTTACTAATTTAATTTGATATTTTCTTCTATTATTGTTCGGTTTTACTAAATAATCTCAGATGAAGGGATTTCATAATATAGCGCTAAAAAATTGCTATACATTTTACATACAATAGCCCACAATCTTGTACTGAAATATGTCAGTCCCAAGGATTCTGGAGAGGACAAAAACTTAACAAACAACACTAAAAGTTGCATCCTATAATGTAAGAACACTTGTATTTGAAGAAAATCTTATACAGATTGAAATGGAATTGGAAAACAAAGTTGAACATGGTAGGAGTAAGCGAGTGCCTGGAAACACTAACCACGGGACACAAACTGTACTATAAATTGTCACGACACAAAATCAGAAGATGGAGTAGATTTTTTCAAACACAAGACACATTGAAAAAAAAACTTTAAATTATAAACAGGCAATATACATAAGAGTAATCTATTTATATGACATTACGTTACAACAATAAATTCAGTGTGAAAGTCATTCAGGGATATGCACCGACCAAAAACCATAGTGACAAAAAAATGTAAACTTTCTATGAAAACATATCCAGAGCCATGAATGAAAATAAAACGCACTTTACACTCATACGTGGCGATTTCAATGCCACGGTTGGACTAAAAGCCGACCCAACAGAGATAATACTTGTAAACTATAGAAGCCCTGGCAGAAATAACCGAGGTGAAACCATGAATGATTACTTATTTTTGAGTCAACAATTACTACATAATATACTGTATTTTGACGTAAGCGCGATCTTTTTCTAATGCGTAGGAATTGAACAAATGGCATTTGGTTCGTTAGCAAATATTTGCATTTTTGTTACCGCCTCCACAAATTATTTTCGTTTTTCTTCTGCTACTGGCTGATTTTCTTTTAAAACTTTTTTGTCTTGTAACATTTTGATCAGCCTACAAAATCTGTACAAATAATTATTTGCGCTAATTAGCAATTAAAATTTGTAATTATTCGGACATGGAAAGCATGAATTCTGAATAACCGAACTAATTTAATTATTTAAACAAATGTTCAAAATGTTGTCCGTTCCCCCGAAAACATAAATTAATTCTTTTCAAAAAATGTAACTGTACTTTGAGAAGCGTGCCTGACTTGTTTTTAAAATAATCTGCAGTATTTAAAATTCTTTCCAGTAACTCTGCTTCTGTAGCGGCAGGCAAAGCAAACAAGTTTGATTTAAGACTCACAGAAAAAATTTAGCGGCGTTAAATCGGGTGATTGGGTGGCCAATTTATGGGCGCATCGTTGCCCCTTCCGATCCATCTATTAGGATATGTTTTGTTTAAAAATTTCGCGATTAAAAATATTCGCGCATGATTCACGGTTTGTATATTTGCTATAAACTCTGATACTTATCCGTCCATTTCCTTCACATAATCTTCATACTAGAAGCATGTTAACTTTCTCAGCGATACAACAAAGTTTTATTTTAGAAAAACATAAAATACAGAGTTTACGGTAAACTCGGGTTCAACTTCGCTCAACAGCAAAAACAGTAAAAACCATCGGTTTGTCAAATGCACGAAATAATTTAAGTTAAGTCAAGCATTATTTATAAACAGCAAAACAATATATTTACAAACAAAAACGAATTTTTCACAATAACGATGCTTTGGCATTGCAAATAATTTTTTGAACAGAAGCGGTGTCAGCGAAAATTTTAACAAGAGGCCAAAAATATTCAAAAGGAAATCAGCTAGTAGCAGACAAAAATTTAAATTATTTGTAGAGGGGGTAACAAAAATACAAACAATTGTCAACGAACCAAGCATCATTTTTAATACTTTCACGCAATAAAAAAGATCACAAAAACACGTCAATTTATGTGGTAACTGCTAGTAAAAACGATACTAATTTGAGAACTTTGGCGCCCTGTAGCGGTAAAATGAAGCGACATTAGATGTAGGACAGTTTGCTTAGATCGTCTCATTTTCGGGTAAAGAATTTGTGGTTAAGCGTCGTACAGTCATTTCAAGGACACCCTGTCAGAATCATTAAAATGCCCCATAAATATCGTATAAAACATAACGTGCTATCCAAAGGCAATTTGTTTCTTTGTATGTAGTCCTATTGTAACAGCGACAATTTTGGTACTTTTTTCAACAGTTTTGTACACCTTCTTTGCTGTAACTGGTTTTTTATGTTTCGCATGCTTTCCTCAGTCATCATCCTACAGTAAAACACTTATTTCGCATTTCTTGAACAGTATGCATATTATATTACCAAGATATTAGCATATTATGGTTTTACGTTATTAGCAATATAGCAATTTATATAATCTAATTTTGAGATGGCTAGGAATTCCGTGTTTCCAAAATGATTAAATATAAATCAAAAGAACAAACATTGGAAATGCTCATATGAGCAGTGACAAATTACTCAAAAGCATTAAGAATTACAGTCATAAAAAGAACCTCCAATTAAGGAAAAAAAGCAACATTTTCTAGCGACGCACAAATTTGGGTAGTCAACTGGAGAATGAGTGTAAAATTGGCAGCTTTACCATTTTGGCTTTGCGGTGTTGTGTTAATTAGAGTGTATGTCCAGTCCCTGACCAAATTCGGATTCAAAGACCATCTATGACCACGACAACCAAATTTTAATTGTAAATAATTTTGAAATACTCTCTGAAGTCTGAAGTTAAAAAATGCCAATTTAAATATGCAGATCATAAAGTTTCTAATGTTTGTTGCCTCCTCCTTAGACAATCAAGAACACAATTTCCAAAAACAAATTTATTTCATTCTGATAAGTAACCCTTTATTGTACCTTTAATTGGACTGTTCAATTATAAGTTTCCGATAGTAAGACGTCAATGTTCATGCCGATTCAATTAATAAATTTGTGAAACTTACCAGCACTTCGCGTTTTTCTTCTAAGTGCCGCCTCGGCTTCAGCATTAGTGTGTGTGGCCTGTTGCAGCTGTGGAGAATGACTTATTTGCTGCTGTTGTTGCACGACCTTTTCTCTACTTCGAGTATTTTGCGCCGGTTGCTGTTGCTTATCTTGATGCATCTGCTTGTCCTGCTGCCCTGCTCTTGCTGACCTGAAAACAGACAACAAAAATAAGCAAACTTAATAACAATATTAAGCTTGTACTGACCTCCTAATATTGGTTTTATGATTAACTTGACTAGCCGGAGTCATGTGAGGGGCTGTCTGTGCGCCGACACCTTTCGAAACTTTGATGCCTGTTTTGGGGACATTTTTTCGAAGTTTCTCAATGAGGGGTTCATCACTATCTGAGCTCTCCTCTTGCTGCTGAGGATTTTGCGAGTTTGTCACTTTGCCAACCTTCTTCAATGAATTGGTTGAATTATGAACAGTTCTTTTTCCCAATTCAGATGCTTCTATAAATGATCAAGTTAAAGATTTAAACAACAAAGATAAAATGTTACATACCAGAGCCTTTGCGAGGTCGCTTTCGCAACTCTTCTAAGCTATGGTTGGAACTGTCGCTTTCATTCCTTTTTCTTTTAGCGGTTGTAGATGGAGGAGCGACTTTGCCAATCTTCGGTGCCGGTGAGCTAATTTCAGGGCTATTTAATTTACTGAGAGCCCGTGTTCGAACTGACGATCTGAAATTAGAATTTCTTTGCAGATATTTTAAAAACGTCTGTAATAAATCAGATATTCAATATTTACCTAGCTGCTGGACTATGAGAATTCGGTGCAACAGAGCTGTGATTCTCTGATGGAATTTCAATCAGTAGCTGTTCGAGTAAGCTTTTGCTTTTATTATTGGGTTGCTGCTGCTGCTGGGAGTTGAGGGATTCCATCGAATGTCCCATATTGCTATCCTCATCTTCAGTGGTCAACATGGGACTTTCGCTACCCCCTCTTGAGTCTTGACCTCCTCCGCCCTTGTCAACAGCATTTGATGAATACGAATAGAGAACCGCCGCAACTCGAAGAGCAGGTGGGGACTTTGGCGATTGAAGCTCTTCAGTTTTCGCCGCCTGTAAGGTTTAAGAACACCTGTTGAGACCAATAATTGAAAACAAATAATTCATTAATGGGTTTAGTAATTTTGATATTATTTTTGGCGGCGTTTAATCTTCTGAAATACATTAAGGTTATTTAAAAAAATCGGTTGTTTGTCCCTGGCATGTCGTTCCCGAGCTTACTGTTGTAAATATGCCGATTATTTATAATGCCTCTTGTTGCTGATACTGCTGGTCAGGACTTTTATCAGAAAGGTATGATAAATACAGTGTAAAGGCAAAGATATCCTGGACAACGGACTGCTGTCGACAAAAGATAACATTCAAATCAATCAAAGTAATGCTTGCAATAAGAATGAATCGTTTTTATAATAACGTAGACTATTCTGGTTTTTTGGTATGTATCAGCAACGCCGAACAGAATGAATTAGTCCAGTCAGATTAGGCTTTAAATCGCCTGCTTCGGGCACTAAATAGATGAAGGTAAAAGATTATTGGAAGTTGTTTGAAAGGATGTTTGTTTTATATATAGTTTGAGCGCGATTTCCGGCTATGGAACATTGTTTGAATAACTAAAGAAAGTTCGTTTTTTGTGCATAACTTTTGAACGGTTGATGTTATTCAATTCAAGTATTTAAATTGCCTTCAATATAAGACAACAAAATTAAAATCAGTTCATTTGTTCACCCAAACAACAAGAAAAAACCGCCAATTTTTTTTGGTTTTTTWAATTTTCTATAATTAATTTAGTTTTGTTTCAAAAAAATCGTACTATAACTTTTAGCTTCAAATATTCATAACTTTTYATTCATTCCTATTTGTTAYTAAAAAAATGCTCTTGCCAGAATATAAATAAGTTCTATTTTGAGACTTCTGAGCGACTTCTCTAASGGACTATTTTACTCGTAAGCAGTTATACTACAACTTACAATAAAATAAAAGCTGATTAATGAAGGGTAAATTGTGTAAACGCTTGAGAGCTGGGAGCACGGCTCACACAAATTTCTGACTTTCAACTTAATGTTTAAACCATTTACCATTCAGTAATGAAAGTTAAGATAAAATGTATACCACTTATAAAGTATACAARRACGTTCAAAAAAGTTACAGTTATACAATTAATTATAGMAAATTWAAAAAAAACGCTTAAATCGGAGTTTTTTTTTCGTTTTTTGAGTCAACAAATRAACAGATTTTAATTTATCTCATATTGTACKTAGGTATTTTTAATACTTAAAAAAMAAAGAACGAATTTTTTTTCAAAAGCATCAACSATTCKTAAGTTATGCGCAAAAACGGTTTTTCGCACTGTCTTTGATTATTTAAACAATGTTTCACAGCCGGAAATCGCGCTCAAACTATTGTCCCAATATTCTGCCATCCTTCCCAACAACTTCCAATAATCTTTTACCTTCATTTATTCAGTGCCCGGAAAAAATCTAATCTGACTGGATTAAATATGATGAACGACAATAGCAGTGTGAAAATTATAATACCTGATCGTCCGTATGTTCATTCATACAAAATTCACGAAGGGCGACATATTATACAAATTTACTTATGTGTCACATCAAATCTGTCTTCATTTATAATCCTAGACCGATCATCATGCAGATAACATTAACATATAAAGACTAACAAAAGTCGAAGGAATTGTTCAAAAAAATACGCAAATATGTGCAAAATATTCCAGTTCATAGGATAATCCACTTTACGATCTGTTAGTGCCTTTACGAAGTGCCATTTAAATTTACAAAAATGGCTTATTGTGAAGATTTTTTATTATCCGAGCCCTTATCTAGATATGAACGCCGGAACTTTGATAAAAACATTAAAAATTTTTCAACATTACTTTCATAACATGCAAAACGCACTTAAACTCCTCCGAAAATCGTAAAAAGTCGAGACACGTGCGTTGTCTACGTTTTAATTATTCTTTAATTAAGTTAAATCTACGATTTAAGACTTGAGTTTAAAAAAAAGCGTTGAACGGTTTTGTTATTACATATAACTAACCAATAGATAATTATATTGAATGCTATTAAATATATACTTCCACTTTAAGCAATGTTGCCGTATTATTTTGCTTTCTATTAGAATATTCAACACACATACTTCTTAAAAATTCTTTAGAACGTCAATTCATATGTTGGTTTAATTACATGTACGACCTGAAATTTTCATAAAAAAAAACGTTTTTCTTCTTCTTCTTCATATTTTAATCCTTAGGCTTGTATTTTCCAACTTAATTTTCTTGGGATATGAATGTCCAGGAGTCTTTCCATCTTTTGGGAGGTYTGCCCAGTGRTCGGCGTGTCTGTGGAATATATGTCCATATTCATTCTAGTGACSTGGTCATTCCAGGCTCTACGACGCTTCCGTCCCCATMTGACTATGTCCTCGATATGTTTTATTGCTGTTYATTTTTCAGTCGTAGAACTGAACTCGAGGTTTTCTTACTTCGGTATGGTAACGATAAAATTGTGAATCCGGCAAGCACGGTTATGGTTCACAATCCAAGGTTATCCTATACATGGGACAGCTAGAAATCGGGATCGTACGAACGTCTAAAATCTCTGACCAATAGAAACACTTTCGTACCATCGTATCATAGTATAAACGGATGCATAGGAGACAGGCTTATGCCGAAAATAAGACCCTGTCATTGGCTGGCCATGCGACGCTTAGTATGAAGAATACCAACAACAGAACTACTATAACCTAACTTTGACTTGTTGTTTACTTATTTATTTTTGTAGTATTGGCAGACTAATTTGGTATTGGTAACTTTAACTATTTAAAAAAATGTATAATTAATCATTGTGCTAGCTCTTGTCATCGTATATTTGATCTTTGGCTATTCAAAGCGGGTTTGTTTGCTATGATTACAACGATTTTGTGATTGAAGATTCGAAGTAACAAAGGGAGTAAGCACCAAAGAGTGTTTCAAGATAATTAGAAGGATATTCCAGGAAACAAGTTAGGCACTGGGCAGTGGTACATCTTTGGTATCAGATATAAAGCCTAACATGAAGATTAGCACATAGCCCTTTGGTAAAGGTGCAAAGCTACCACTTGCCCCCTGGGTTACTTCCACTCTTCGATTATAAAAAGTTCATCAATTTTTCATGCCATTGGATATTGATAATGGTACTCAAATAGCTACATTCGGAATTCCAGGTGTACAATGTGCTCAAAAGCATGGAGTTACCAAAAGGCAAGTTGAGAAAAAAAGTTTTTCAATAGGCACATACGTTCATTGTTATAGAAAACTGACAAAAGATTACCTAAAACAATAACTGAGAATGCTTGAATAGCGGGTTTGGAACTGGATTAAAAACTCCTTTTCTACTCTAAAAACGGGCAACATTGAGACTCTTTATTCGTTTTTTGACGAAACAGAAATAAATATAAAATACCCGAGCTTTATGCAGCCAACCAACTATTTGTTGATTTAATTGAAAGGTTATAAGCGTTGTTATTATTGCGCAGTTGGCGTCGCATGGACAGCCAATCACAGGAGCCTATTTTCGGCCTATTCTGTAATACTGAGGGAAGCACAGTACAGTTCTCTTTATATATTGTAACGGAAATGGCCTGGGGTACTCACGTTTGGAATGGGGACCGAGTTTTCCGTTTGTTATTGTTATTGTTTGTGAAGTTGACGTTAATTTAGAAGTTAGTTTGTTACCGTTCCGTAGCTAAAGTTATACCGAGTGGAATAAGAGTTGGAAGCACAAGTAATAGTTTGATACTCGGCCATCCACGGTACATTTGGTGTCAGAAGTGGGATTTACCAGAATCCAAGTTGAATTTTGATGGAAACAAGAAATAAATCAAAGAAGGAAGGCCCTGCAATGGAGAACCCCAGTTTGATTGCACTGCTCATGCAGATGAAAGACGAAATAAGCAAAATGAATGACAAAATGGAAGACAACAGGAGGAAAATGATGGACGAAATGAGCGACAAAATGGAAAACAGTAGGAAAATTATGGATAAAATGGACGACAACGCTAAGAAATTTGAAGACCTGAAGACAACCGTTGAAGACCAACTAAAGAACATCGAGGAAGACAGTGTCAAGTTCCAGAAGATTTTGAAAGAAGTCAATACGAAGTTTCAGAACGATGTTAGAGATGAAAACATCAAGTTTCAAGACAAAGTTAAGACAAGAAATAATCAAAATTAGACAAGAAGTAACCCGGTACAATGCAGGATCTGATAGAATAAAATTTGAGGCGCAATCTCCAAGCAGCAGTAAACTGAAGCCGCCAACATTCGATGGTAAAGTCGCACGGTCCACATATTTATGCCAATTTGAAGCCGCTGCAGTAGTTAACGGGTGGAATGATCAGGAGAAGACAACATCACTTATTATTTCCCTACGAGGCGAAGCAACGGAAATCTTACGATCAATACCACAAGATGACCGTAAGAACTATCAGGCCATGCTTGAAATTTTTCAAATGAGGTAT